GATACCATGGGAATACAGTCCAAAGAACTAACAGGGCTCATAGGGAATCACAGAGACTGAAGTGACAAACACAGACCCATTATAAATTTCCAGAATTCAAATGCATGTGTGTCTATATTAGACAAGATAATATTTGTCACAGTCTCATGTACTAGAAGAGTCTCTGTGTTAAGAATCATTATATGTTAAGAATCATTTGATGGCTAGTCGAAGTTATTAATTTGACTATATGTGGAAATAAAACCATTCAAATGATGGCATATCTGTGATCTTTCAAGTAGAAAAATCCAATTCTAATTTGGATCTTTGAGATAGAAAGACATGCCTTTAACTAAAATCTTTTGATCTGGAAAGAGATAATCCTTTAATAATATAAATAGGATAAATTTATATATATATATATATATATATATAGATATATATAGATAGATATGATAATAAAATAACCCTTAATCCAGAACTTTAATCCATATCTAATCTGGGCCATACCTTCTGCTAGAAGCCTATATATTATATAATATATAAGGACATGGAAGAAGGAAACTATTGTTACTTGCCTGTTGCCTTCCCCTTGCTTGTAAGTCAATTTCTTCATTGACATTACTGCCTTATTTAGGATTCCAGCATATACTGATGACTAGCTAATTCATCCATCCTCAAAAACTGAGCAAATACTGGATTCTTAGATTTTCCATTCACAGACAGCCATTTTCTATTCAGCCAGAAAACATACAGCACACACACACACACACACACACACACAAATATAATAGAAAATTTTTTCCTATTAGATATGTAGTTTTTTCCTAGATTCATTATATCTTTAGACTATTTTTTTTTTACAATTTTAGCAGTATTAGTTATAGGTTTCATCTTATGGAATAAGCATTAACTACAATAAAAGAAGTGGTTGATTATTCCCATAACATTCATTCCACTACTGTACTAGACTATCTTGTAGGTAGGTCTTTGTTGTAGAATGCAGAGTTTGTTGTTATATGATGTTGATAATTAATTTTATCCTGAGGTAACTTGCAGAATACGTTACAGAAATATCATTGCTAATCTGTAGGGGTAAAGCTCCTAGTTGGGTAACTGTTTGAATGATGCATATATAATGACACAAGTAGGTAATATCCTCAGCAATAGAGCATCAACATCAGTTTAAAAGAGAAAGTCAATTTTTTAATCTGATTTTTTGATGTTCTGGTTTCTTTTTAGTCTTTTTAAGTATCCTAAATACTAACCTTACTTTAGAAGTATAATTGGTAAAGAATTTTCCACTTTCTGTAGGCTGCTACTTTTGCCAATAAATCATGCTGAAAAAATTGGTTTGTAAATGAAAGGTAGTACTTCCTATCTAATATTTTCTATGCATAAATATTAGTGATAGTATATTATACACTTAAATGGAAACCTGTAAATTAGTAAAAATCCTTTGACAAACATGAGGAGGAATTTCATGACATTATTCTTTGCACTTCTGACTATATATCCAAGGAAATTAAAATTGGGATGCTGAGAAGATATTAACACTCCCATATTCATTGCAGCATTGTTCACAGTTGTTAAGATAAGGAAATAATACATTGCTGACCATGATAAAAAGAATAAATATAAAGTGTTATCTGTAAACAATTGAATACTCTGCAGCCTTCTCAAATGAAATGAGACTTATAGTATGATGTGGACAAACATTAAGCACACACAGCAAGATAAGGAAGCAGATATATATCTGAGATCAATGTTGCATGGTTCTGGGTATATTTGGTAGAGAAAATAGTCAAATTCTTACAATTAAAGAGCATAATGTTGTTCCTGGCATAAGTACACTGTACACAAAAGAGTTAGTGATGAGTGGACATTTAAATTGAGGAGATAATTCTATCTTCCATATAATATTATAACTTAAACAACAATATTGCGCTGTATATGTCAGTATTTGAGGTTATATTTTGCATTAAATGTTCTTACAAAAAGATAATAGGAGGAATTCTACCAAGTTACAATATCTTAACTGGAACAGAACCAAAGAAGACAAAAACAAACCAAAACCACTAATATATTAGATTGACAGTACATCATTATTAAGTATTATTTATCTCAGTAAAGCTCTGTTGATTTTATATTCGGCAGTCAGTTTATGTGATTAAAATGGTATAGAATGAAAGTTTGCAATTTCAAATTTGCAAAAATTCTAAAAGTTATGTATTCAACCTTCAGCACGCAGTATCAATATTTAGTGTTAAGGTCATTGGAATAAAATTAATTTTCGGTTGGTGTGTTCCAGAAAATGTGACCCTCAATATGGCACTATCACCTTTCTTAGAATAGGAAGAAAGAGGAGAGATACCTCATATTTGGCCATTCCAACACATATCAAGAAGGTTTTTCTTTTCCAATTGGAGAAAATAGTAACACTCACTTGGGAACTTAGTTGAATGGACGAGGTCAATCGGTAATTAAAAATTAACCAGACTAGCTTAATATAAAAGTTATAGCTTTAATAAACAGAAGAAAAGAAAACTTAAACCAGGGTCCCAACGGTCTGAGAATGCAGGGGCAAAAAGAGAGAAAGTGGCAAGTGCACTTTGATCTTTTATTTGTTTTGTGTGGTCCCCCGTGATTGGTTGAGGTTCCCCATCAGAATGGAATTTTGATTTTTTTTTTCCAAGCCAAACTGTATCCAGCTTTATTAAAGACACTTTCCATAAACAACCATGGTTTTCCAGGCAGAACATGGGCAGACAATCCGTAACAGTATACAAGAACTTCCAAACTCCCTTCTTGTATCGACTACCAAAATCAGAAAGTCACTATAAAACCCGGTGAATCTTCATTGGATCCTCTGAAAAGGGGGAGGAGCTTAGAGTGAGGGCTGACATTTCACATTGAGGATGTTGTTTCACAACTTTTCAAAAGCCAACCCTGACTTTCAGGAAATGAAATGAAAATGACAGAATTATCAATCTGCAGATCCACAATCTTCTATAAAAGGAACCGCTACGCTTTTGAGGACACTCAATGATATCACTGCAAAGTCCAGATTGCCCAACAGACTGGCAAAACCAATTTTGGGGATCAGGTTCCAACAGGTCTCTGGTCTTTTTTTTTAAGTTTATTAAATTATAAAAGTTTCCATTTCTGCCCTTCCTCCCAACACCCTCCCACTTCCCCCACTCCCTCTCCTCCTCCCTCTCCATCCCTAAGAGTAGTCAGGGTTTCCTACCCTGTGGGAAGTTCAAGTTCCTCCCCCCTCCCTCCAGGTCCAGGAAGGTGAGTATCCAAACAGATTGGATCCCAAAAATCCAGTATATGCAGAGGAAACAAGTCCCAGTGTCATTGTCAATGGCTTTTCAGAAAGACTCCGGGCCAGCCACATTCAGAGAATCTGGCCTCATTCAGAGAATCTGGTTGGATCACTTCCTCATTCAGTCGCTGTCCAACTGGCCTTGGTGAACTCTCATTAGATCAGTCCCCTTGTATCAGTGGGTGATGGCGCCCATCGCAGTCCTGATTTCTTTTTTCATTTTCTTCATCCTTCTGCTCCTCATTTGGACCGTGGAGGGTTCCATCCAGTGCTCCAATATGGGTCTCCGTCTGTATCGCCATCCAACGTCGGATGAAGGTTTCCTCTGCTCTTGCCTTCTTTGTTCACGTTCTCCTTCCTTCTGCCTCTCGTTTTGACCTAGGGAGCTAGGTCCAATGTTTCGACATGGGTCTCCGCCTCCATCTCCCTCCATCGCCAGATGAGGGTTCTATGGTGATATGCAAAATGTTCATCAGTATGGTTGTGGGCCAAGGCCGGTTCAGGCACCCTCTCCTCTGTTCAGAGAACAATCTGGGGATCTCTCCTTGGACCTGGGATCCCCTTTATACTCAAGTCTCTTATAAACCCTAAAATGACTCCCTTAGTTGAGGTATATTCTTCCCTGATCCCATATCTATCCATTCTCCCTCCCCCTCATCCCAGTCCCCCATCTTTCCCCATTCCTCCCCTACTCCCTTCTCTCTAACCCTCTCCCCTTCCAACAGCCCCCCCACCCCCCCATGCACCCGAGGTTACCTGGGACTCTTGTCTATTTCCAATCTCCAGGAGGATAGCTACAAGATTTTCGTCAGGTTCACCTTCTTATTTAGCTTCTCTAGGATCACGAATAATAGGCTCAAAGACCTTTAATTATGGTTAGAATCCACTTATGAGTGAATATATACCATATTCCTCTTTTTGGGTCTGGCTTACCTCACTCAGTAAAGCATTTTCTATTTCCATCCATTTGCATGCAAAAGTCAAGATGTCATTGTTTTTTACCGCTGAGTAAAACTCTAATGTATATATGTTCCACACCTTTTTTAACCATTCTTCTATTGAGGGGCACCTAGGTTGTTTCCAGGTTCTGACTATTACAAATAGTGCTGCTATGAACATAGTTGAACAAATGCTTTTGTAGTATGTTAGGGCATCTCTTGGGTATATTCCCAAGAGTGGAATTGCTGGGTCCTGAGGGAGGTTGACTCCCAGTTTCCTGAGAAACCGCCACACTGATTTCCACAGTGGCTGCACAAGTTTGCATTCCCACCAACAATGGATGAGTGTTCCCCTCATTCCACATCCTCTCCAGCATAGGCTATCATTGGTGTTTTTGAGTTTGGGTATTCAAAACAACTTTGAGGTATCATCTTACACCTGTCAGGTCTCTGGTCTTAAGGGAGTTAAGTCTATGTTGATGGTACGGGGGAGGAGAATATAAAAACGAACTTAGTTCTCCCACACAAGGCATGTTGTGCCATGGTGGCCACATGTCCCCTGGATGTCGCTTCTGTGAGCCAATAGGAGTCTTTCAAAATTATCAGGGAAAGATGCTTTCCATCATGAACCATCATCCATCCATCTTGGGAGACACATGTTCCTCCCCACCCAAAACAATGAAGTGTTCTGTGTGCTAACAACATAGCTTAAAAAAAAGGTAAAACAAAATTCTGCATTTTTATGAAACTTGATAAAAAATAGTATTTCAAACTGTACAGTCACCAGAAGTACACAGTTATCAAAAACGCACACATTTCACTTGGTGTCTCCAGCACCTTCAGCTTTTTGTGCCTGGTCTGTTTTGGCGTCTCCATTCTCTGCAGGATTATTGGCATCCTTACCAGCATCGACCTTCTCCTTCTTCCCTTTCGGTACCTTCTCTTCCTTCTTTGCAGGGGCCTTTTTAGGCTTGGGCTCTGGCTCTGGAGGTGCAGGTTTAGCGGACAACCTTGCCGATCTTCTCTGTGGCTCGTCCTTCACCTTGGCTTTATCTCCTTTAGTATCCCATTCAGCCTTTCTTTTGGGCATGGCGGTGGCGGTGGCGGGGGGGGGGGGGGGGTGACGTCGGCGCTGAATGCAGGGCTGCAGCGGTGCGCAGCTTGGGTCCCTCCGGGGATCATTCTCACTGCTTCATCACACTGCTTGGGCTCTGGGCTGGAATTTTGATTTTTGAATGAATAGTTAACTAAGTTAAGAAAAATAAATAGATGTAAATAGACCCAAATCTTTCACCTTGCATAAAAATAAAGTTCAGTTGAATCAAAGACCTCAATATAAATCCAGATAAACTGATTCTGATAGAACAAAAAATGGAAATAGTCTTGAACACATGGCACATAAAACAACTTCCTAAACATAATATCAGTAACACAAATACTAAAATCAACACTTAATATTTGGGACCTCATTAAACTGTGAAAAGCTTCCCTTAGGAAAAGGACACTGTCAATTAGACAAAATGACATACTACCAAATTCAGAAAGCTCTTCACCAACTCTATATCTGACAGAGGACTGTTTTCCAAAATATGTGAAGAGCTTACATGTTATTTCTAATGGCTGACTTACAAAGCACTGGCACATTGTTGGATGGGCAATTGAGCATTCTTTGCATGAGGATAGTTCATTGATATCTCCTAGATGGTTGAGAATAAGTAGGTACTGTGAAGGAACATTTTTCTCTATTGTTTTCTTGTAAAGGTAAAGTGAAGAAACAGTCTTTCAAATCATTAACTATAAGAGGCCATTTTTTTTTGGTAATAGAGATGGCAGAGGGATTCCAGATTATAGAGGTCCCATAGGTTGACAGCACTTAGATCTGTCACCATTCTTCATTTATCAGATTTTTTTTTGCAACAAATACAGGAAAATTCCAAGGACTGGTTGATTTTTCAATATGGTGAACATCCAGTTGCTCTTTTACCAGCTGTTCTAAAGCCTGTGACTTAGCTTCGGGTAGAGGCCACTGCTTAACCCATATTGGTTAACCATTTTAAAAGTAGGGCTGTTGGTACCTCTAAAGGTTTGCTAGCTGTCGTATGTTCTTGTACAACCTGAATGGCTGGTGACCTTTGTGTATAGTACTTTATAATATCCTTCCCAGAATTATGAGTTCCTGGTACTTCAGAAGTGTTAATCTGGGTATTCATATATTGTAGCAGGTCACAGTCTCTTAAAATTAATGCAATATTTGCCACTTATGGCCTCAGTTTCCCCTCTTTGACCTTTTCTTCCAATGCAGTCGAGCCATCTTGTGCTTTGTTTAACTTGAGATATAGTACCACATCTTAGTAACTGAACATCTGCCTTTTGAAGAGACCAATTTGAATGCCAAGATTCTGGAGTACTGATACTCGTGATCACACCTGTTTCAAACCACCAATGACAATGACATTTATATACACTCTTAGCTTTGGTCTTTGATCATTTAAAGAAGTCTGCCCCCCCCCAAAATTTCCTATTTTCTATTGGAATTTTTTACTTATTCTCTATGTTTATGCCATCATCTAGAAGAGTACGGTCTTTTAGAGAAGACTCTGGATTATTTTAATTTTCCTGGTGATACATGTCCTCCAAAGTGACTGGGAATGAGTGGACGACTTTTGCCTTGGGGACCTATGAGAGGCTCCTCAAGGAGTTTCCCGATGGTATTGGGTTGCCTTGTCTGTCTTTTATTGATCTTCATTCATTGATCCAATGTTGGCCTGTGCCACACCTTCTACATATACCTGAAAGCAGAGTCCTCCTATTCTTGCCATTCCCAGAGGAGATATTACTCCTAGGTATTACTTGCCTACAATCCCTTCTCAGATGTACAATTTTACAACAACTAAAACATTGGCATTTTGATGTCTCCTCATTCCTTTGGAAACTGCTTCTACTACCCAAGATTCAGTATTATGGTCAAATATCTCATTGTTCATTGTATGCAGGATTTATTCCTCTCTAGGTGCTGATCTAAACTTTAAAGGCCTAAGTATCTTTTTGCATTCTAAGTTGGAACTTTCGAAAGCCAGGGATTCAATAAGTACTCATCTAGCATCTGGGTCTGTTATTCCTATTTGCACAGCCTTAGTTCATCCTTGTAAAACATCAGTAAAGGGTTCTCTCTGGCCCTGTTTAACTCATATATTATTCAATTCATTTTCTTAATTCTTTAATCCTGTACCAACATTTAAGGCTGCTTTGTTGCAAAGGGACAAGATTTGTTCATCATAAAGAGCTTGAAGCCCTGGATCAACATAAGTGTCTTAACAAAAAATTTGGTCTTGGGAAGTCTCAAGGCCTTTTGCTTTTCATTGTTATTTCAAACTTTTTGATTATTCTCTGTAATAAATTCTAAACAGGAATTGAGGCCAATCATCCAGGACTGCTGAAACTAATTGAATCCATGTGGCATTGTTTTAATGCAAGAAGACCATGTCTTTATTATCTCTCTAACAAATGTGAATTGCAAGCCAAAAGTTTAATTCTTATAATAAGGTTAATTTCTTATAGATCATTCATTCCTATATGTACCCAACTACCTTCTTTGGATCCTTTTAGACCTTTAGAACTTGATGCTTTGTCAGAGGAGATTACAGGGTAGGAAACAAAACCCTAGGTAAGTCATCTCTGACAGCTACTGGCAATGTTGAATCCTGTCCTTGTGCCTTTTTTCCCTGTTCGTCAGATCCAATAATTTCCTCAATCATTTCAAATCTTTTTACTATTGTATTTTGTAAAGCCTGAATCTCCTGGACTGTATATATGTCTAGTGATTTCATTGAACCTCTGGTCCTCATTCTGAAAATGTGATCCAAGGTCTGAACTTTCTCCTTTAAAGATCGCATCCTTGGACATTAATTAATAGCATGCAGATTGCCAGCCTGAAGAGATACTCTATCTGCTATCTTATCATAACTTTTTAACGAATTTTGATTGTCAAATTCAACAGTATAAATTCTTTTAGATAATTTCTTAGTACCCTTAGATATGGATTCAATTTTGTCTGTCAAATTAATGTTATCCTTTTTAATAGCATTAATTTTGGGGGGTAAATTCTGATTTTCAATGGTATCAATCCTGCCAACTAGATGTTCATTATTAATCTGTATAGACTGTATCATTCCTAAAGTGCCACATTCTTTCTTAATGAGAGAATAAGAAAAAAAAAACTTAGTCCCAATACTCAATAAATTGAACCATCACTATAACCATATAAGCCTTGCATAATACAATCCAGAGTATTTAGTAAGGTTACAAAAAGTTTCAATATTAATGTAGTCTATAATATTGATTTATTAATAACCTATTTTGTAATCTGGTAAACCGTGATCTTTATTGTCCAGCAGATTTTATGTTTACAGAGTCGCGGTTGTGACAGGAAGAGTCCTGAGCCAGTTTAGTTTCTGAGACACTTTAGTTTTCCGAATTGGTACTGGTTAAATACTAAGAAATATGCTTTGCTTGACAAATTAAAAGCAATTAAATCAATTCCATACATGGAGCAAGAAACCCATAACTCATGGGCATGGACCAGAACCCGGAAGCTGCACAAGTCATCACACAGCAAGGAACTATGCCAGGGAATTGTGCCAGAGAAATTTCCATTTTGCCATACTGTAGCAGGGGTTCTCTCAAAATCTGCTTTGGTATAAACAAGTCAAGTGGGCAGGACTGGGAGACTGTCTGAGCTGTGAACCAACTAGGCCTGATAGATGTGGCGTCTGAATCCACATTGGCGCCAGATGAAGATGTACACTTAAAAGAAATCCCACACTAGCTCAGATTTGAGCAATAGATGGTTATTTATTTAGAGGTAGAATCCCAAATCAGAGTCTTCTGCTGGAATCTAGATACGAAACAAAATCCCACAGCCAGAAAAGAGAGCAGACAAATGCTCTACATCGGCATAAAAAATATTAGAGGCCACGCCCCAGTGGGAAGGTAACTACTGGCTGTAGGACTTCCTACAGCAATCTGTAATTAATCATTACTATCAAAACTAAACTACTGCTCCCAGAAGGGATATGTACACATGAAAGGAAATGTTTCTGCAAAACAACATTTAAATGTCAGGAGAGTTGATGGATTTATTTAATCTGATTTAATCCTTACGATAATATATTTTTATCAAAACAATGTATGCTATATCATTACAATATATTTAATTGTGGTTTTAAATGTTAATAAAGATCTATTTCAAATTTAAAAAGTAAAAATAATAATAACAAAATACTTAGAAAAACAGTCTAAAGTCTTGGCAATGATTTAAATAGAATATGTACAAAAAGATATGTAGAGATGATCAAATTAACAATTAATCAGGAATTTATCTTTAAATATCTTATTGTTTTTCTGTGATGCATACATGGGAATAATAAAAAAAGTACACATGCCATAAATACTTTCAAACAACTGAGACCCTAGTATATGTTCATACAATTTTAAACTATATAATAACATTAGAAATCAGATTGGAACTTTTACAAAATTAGCAAAGGGTGAAAATATATGCAAAAAGAGCTTTTTTCAGTCAAAGCTGAATGTCCACTATGAGAAAAGTAAAAATAAAAATGTTTATCTTTGTAAAATTAAACACATACTTAAAAAGAAAGAAAAACAATTGAAGCAACCTTGAAACACACTAAGAAACAGAAGCCATCCAATGACAAAAATTCATATTATAAGATCTCTTATTTAGAGCATTCTAGGAGACACAATAATTAAATTCTTTCATAAAATTCATTAGCAGTTTACAGGGTTTGGTGATAGAGATTGAAATAAATGGCTTAAGAAAAATTTCTTTAAAATGAACATTCTTATACCGTGATCACAGTTTACAAAATTATATAGTAGACAAAATCTTAAAATGTATGTCAGTGGCCCATTTCATAGAAGTAATTTTTAATTAGAAGTAATATAAGACCATGGAAAATTGTTCTCTTATCACCTGAATTAATTTTCTTGTTTTAGAGAGAAAACTGTTCATCCTTTCCTAGTATATCTTTTTTAAGAGCTGGTATGTTACACAATGTTAAAAGAGTC